TCTTGCAAACCAGTAATGTAATAAAAATAAAAGCTTGTGTCTCTCTCTTTTTGCAATGGTTTTCGAACCTTATTTAAGGGAAATTTTATCAAAATCATAATTAAAAATATAAACCATTTAATATTTCACAGAATTTATTTGTTTTGATGAGATTTTTGTAATTAGATTGAAAGAAATGGATACGATGTTAAATAGTTCGAATGCTTTCCATAAATTTATGTTTGGAAATTATTGGAAATAATGATCCTTAAACTAAAAATAGGTCTAAAAATGAAAAATAACCTGCATGTATAAAGATCAATAGGAGCAGGGGTATAGAGGATACTGCAACTCTTATCACCAGGGGAGCACAATTTACCAAAATTGCCTCTTGTCCCACTGGCAGCTGTGCCGATGCGAACTTGTGTCACAAGTACTATTACTTGTGCATTCTTCACTTCTTGGTTCTTAGAACATAATGAAAGCGGGTATTCCTATATTTAAACATGACTTTCTTCATTCTTTAGTGGGCTAAAAACTAACCGATTACAAAAACATATTATTTTAAAATAACACCTAGTATCTCGTCGTAGCAAAAATACCACACATTCTAGTTTGGGTGAGGTAGTCTAGTACCTGAACTTTTCAAGTTTGTTAGGAAAAAACAAAGAAAGAAAAATGAAACAAGATGAATAACCCTTTTTAAGAGTGTTGACACTTGGAGCAATAGAACCCAAGTTTCAATAGTATTTACTGCAAAAAAAAAAACAAGAAGGTCGAATATTTTATAAGGGAAATTTATCAAAATGCACATAATTTAATGACTTGGTGCTCAATAGGAAATATATTCAATTGCTATTAATAAGAAATTAAGAATAAATTTAAAACAATTGTTAAAAGTCCTTTCGAAAGTTTTTGTTTCTTTAAAATAATATAATGCATTCGAATTTTACTTTCTTTCTTATATCAAATTTTCCTGATATAAGAAAAATTATGATAAATTAGAGTATTTTTTAAAAGGTGCATTTCTAACAGTTAGGAACCCCTTGAAGCTTCCATGATGTTTCCCATACACATTGGACCAACAAAAGTGCAGTTTGTTCTCCTGCTTCTTCCTTTTTTTGGGACAATAATGCTAAATTTTATGAATCATATAGATAGTTACATCACAATCAAAAGTGAACAATATCATCTGAAACCCAAAGAGACTCCAAACTCGCACCCTGCTTAGCTAAATCATCGATAATGTCGTTGTTGGCATCTTGATAGACATGCCGGAAAGAAATAATCAGGCCTATACAAACATCCACCACTTCTGCCCAAATTGGCAACAGTCTCTACGGTGCCTTACTTCGCTTATTATACGAATTTATATCATTCAAGGAATCATCTTCCACTACATAGCAATCACCAAAATGCCTCGTATACCACTTTTAAACCTTGTAAAAGAGCCTGAAATTTTGCGCCCTTCACTATAGCAATACCACAAGGGCCAGCAAAAAAAAGAAAAAGATGGTTAGAAGATTTTCTCACAACACCATCAATCCCCTCCTACGAGGATTTCCATGGGAGCTTCCATTGAAATTCAGCTTGCTGCAGCCAACCAAAGGAGGGTGCCATCTACCCCTCGATTTTAAGCACACTGAAACATTGCTGAAGATGTTCTTCATTACTAACAACATTCTTCAAATTCAGCACAAAATCCACCTTTGTAAGGCAGACCCCCTCCTTAATAACCCAAAACCAGCTCCATCGATCATTTATAATTCTGTTTCATACCTTCCAAACTGAGTAGCACCCCTTCAAAAGTCTCATTTTTTTCCCACAAAACAACCATTCTAAAAATCTTCCAAACCATTGGACCAATCATGGCAGATCCATATGGTATTAAACGATCAAAGTAAGACGCACCTCCTAACTGTGGAAAAAGTTGTCATTTTGGTAACAAAAGTCCGTGCGATGGTCTCAATTTTTCAAGTGTTCATAGATTTGTTCGATCTACTCTATTTTTGAAGCTTTAAATTTTATAATTAGATATGAAAATAAAATTTCAAGCCGTCAAAAAGACTTTCAATATTAAAATAATATTTTTCAACACTATTTGAAGGTGCACCTTACTTTGATTGTTGAGGGCCTCGGCCTTATACAAACCGCACCCAAATTTAAAAGGTGCATGGTGCCTATGAGGTGAAGTTTTTTTAAAGGAAAAGAATTCATGTGAAGCGTAGGAATTTTGAACAATAGACATCCCAAATTTGGGGTGAAGTTTTTTTAAAGGAAAAGAATTCATGTGAAGCGTAGGAATTTTGAACAATAGACATCCCAAATTTGGCTGGTCAATGGTACCAACTTTAGCACCTAATTGTAGGTCCGGTTATTATCTAAAGGGTGTGGTTTGAATAAGGCTGAGGCCCTAAACAATCAAAGTAAAACACACATTCAAATAGTGTTGAAAGATGTTGTCTTAATACTAGAAATTTTTGTGATGGCTTGAAAATTTATTTTCATCTCTAATTATAAAATTTAAAGCTTCAAAAATAGAGTAGATCAAGCAAGTGTACGAACACTTGAAAACTTAAAGATTGATGGTCCAAAAGTGCATCACAAGATACACTACTTCTTATATTTGAAATCTATTTTTTCTCATATCTATACATCTTGCGGTTGAGATGATCAATTTGAGGATTTTTTAGCATCGAGACAACTTCTTTTAGTGAATTTTTTATATGCGCCTTAATTTAATTGTTTAGGGCCTCGCCTTTATATAAATGTTTTCCATTTTTAAATATATGTTCTTTTTATTCTTATGAACTGACACGAAAAAGTAAAATTAGAAGGGTAAGCCGAGGCTCTAAACAATCAAAGTAGAGTTCACCTTCAAATAGTGTCGAGAAATGTGGTTTCAATACTGGAAATCTTTATGATAACATTAAAATTTATTTTCATCTAATTATAAATTTTAAAGCTTAAAAAATAATATAGATTGAGCTGATCTATAAAAACTGGAAAATCTTGAAAATTGACTGTCTAAAAATGCATTGCAAGATGTACTATTTCCAAAACTTGAAATCCATTTTTTTAATTTCTATGCATCTTGATGTCAAGATGATCATTTGAGGATATTTGGGTATCAAAACAACTTTTTCTAGTGAAATTTTTGAGGTAGACTCTGATTTGATTGTTTAGAGCCTAGGCTCTACATAAACTTTTTCCAAATTAGAAAACACAACTTAGAAAGTATTTTTATAGCCTAATTAATATAGGCCATCCATTTTAGTTAGCTACTAAGGTCTAGGTCTTAGACGAATTGTTATTTTCTTCAAATGTTTTAGATAGCTTTATTATCATTAGATTAAATGTTAAAAAACAAAAAGATAATTTCAAATGCCTGAATGCCTAGATATTGAAATTCTCCAAATGGAACTAGATTGAATGTTAGATGGACTCATTTTGGCCATATCTAGGTACAGATTGATTTTTATTTTATTTTTAGATTGATTATTGTGATGGGGAGAGTGTGTATGCAAATTTTGAGTTTATACAAATACCACAACCATAGTTTTCTAAAAATATGGTTTCATTATATTATAATGACACGGTAACGTGAAATCATTTCCCATATATATTTCTTAGATTTTGGCCAATTTTTCAAAAACATGAATCAAGTGGTTGAACTAGACTAATCTAGATTGCCGATCAAGAGAGAAATGGACTGATTTTTTGACGTGGGAATTAGTCCAAAAATATTCAAATATCTTTATATATATATATATATATAATGGGTGGGGAATCGAGTGATTATGTGACGGTTTCATCTTGTCCCTTGAGTGACTCACCTATGTCTTTGACAAAAGTATGCGAGTCAACTCAGCTGATTCTTCGTTCAAATAAGAATCCACCTAGGTACTCACTAATTTTGACTTGGATCAATAATTTTTACACTGATATATTCTAATCCACTCTCTCTAATCTAAAAATTAATTTGAAGCTTGAAAAAAAAAAGGTTCCAAGGCCTTAATGTCCATCAAGTTGATGCTTGGGGTTATTTTTTTAGGAAAATTACATATATATATATTATATTTACTGTTATTATGAAATTATTTTAAAGTTTTTATTAATACACATATATCTATTTTTTCAACTTCATTAACATTTTTTTTTAAAAAAACGGAACTGCTCATTTCGGTTTTTCAAAAACCAAAATATTTAAAAGTTTTAAATTTTGAAAATCCAAATTTTCAGATTTTTACTTTAATCATTGATCGTATAATATGTTGCAAACACAAGGACGAGAAAACATTTTATAAATATTACTTCTAGTTTCTTTGCTCAAAATATTAAACTATAAATAGTTTTTTTTTTTTTGTTAGATCACAGCTCCAGCTCGTTTTTAAAAATAATTAATGGTTTTACATGCCTCGTTTTTAAAAATAATTAATGGTTTTACATGCCAATACCCGTTTTTAAGAATATTTAATAGTTTTCAAGTGCATTAGTGATAATAGAAACCTAGACCGATAATTAAAACCCAATCATGCTATTACCCTGACCTCAACCCATCTCCAAATAATTATTGTGGTGGATATGATTTTTCTTCCTAAAATTCCTCTCTTCATTTTGAGAGAGAAAAATTGGAGTACTATCAAAATCTTAGAGAAATGAAGTAGTCTCTCTATATCTATCATGTGGACGGTTCGACCCGATTAGGGAATGGTGAATTTAGGTGCGGTCAATGTCCGGCCTCGACCCCATTGGGTTGGGTTGGGTCCGGTCTAGGTTAGAAGCAACCCGACGCAACCAAATCCAACAAATTGGGTCCAAGTCCAATGACTTGGGCACCAGGTCGAGCCTGGGTCTCACCCCAACTTATGTAGGTCGGGCCACGTCCAAGACCCAACCTGGAACCCAGCCGATCTGTTCAAAGCCCTAGCCCAGCCCAAAGGAAATCTAGTTAAATAGCAGAGGGTGAGAAAAAAAGGGAAATCTCGCTCTAAGAGCTTTGGGAGTATAAATACCTATCAAAATCAATCTCATTTCCTGAAAATAAATTAAGTTGCTTCTAGCTCAACTTTCGAAGGAGAGAGAGAAGAAAGGAGAGCGATGGAAGGGGAGCATGAGGAGCAGGAGCAGGAGCAGGAACACGAGGTTTATGGCGGGGAAATCCCAGAAGACGGCGAGATGGATGGGGACACAGTCATGGCCGCCACAGAGGAGGATGCTTCAGCTAAGGTAAACCCTCGCTCTCTCTCTCTTCTTTCTCTCTGCAACATCTGCCCTTTCTGTTTGTTTTTTTATGAGCTTGAGTTGGTGCAGGAGCTGGAGGATATGAAGAAGAGGTTGAAAGAGATCGAAGAAGAAGCTGGAGCACTTCGTGAGATGCAGGCCAAGGTCGAGAAAGAGATGGGCGTTGTTCAAGGTATTGATTTACTTTCTCTCTGTTCTTTTCAGTGCATTTCCCATTTCCTCCCCTTTCTTTTCTGATTCTCTCTCTATCCTGGGACTACATTGGGTTGCTTAATGCTCTTGCATATGCTGAAGAGTCTCAAGTTGATTGGGTTTTCGGTTACATAAGAACTTTATTGGTGGTTTTTAGTTTTTCTCTGGCTGATTTTGGATGGGAATGGGACTCAAATGGGTCTATAGATTCATATGAAATTCATTAAAAATAGGTTGTTATAAATCTGCAATGGATCTCCAGTTCAAAAGATTTGCTGGCTCTTTAGTGTTAGAAATTCTTCTTGGTCTTTGGATCATGTCAAAAAGATGAATCTCAAAACGTGTGTCATACTCGAATCTTATTCCATGCCAGTTACTAACCGCCTGTTTAACTGGCGATAGTTGTTTACCTTTGCGCCACCTTTATGAACAAAATATGCATAAAATTAAGTATTTTGGAACATCTGGTTTGGGTTGAATTCTTATTGTAGAAAAATTAAGTAGTTTTGAGTATCTGCAGTCACTTAAATTCATGGTGGATTAAATTTGTTCGTAGTGGGAGTGGAGCTATAATGGAATAGATTTGAGAACTTAAAAACCTTTCTTATGGAGTGTCTCTAATTGAAAACTACTGATTCTAGAGAATGAGAAGGTAGAACTCACAGAGTGGAGTAATGTGGTATCATGGTTATAGAATTCTTCATGGGTGGCTGTGTTTTCAGTATACAGACATAACTCCAAAAAGGACGTAACCATTCTTTATGAGAAGTAAAATTTTATTAAGGTGTACATATCACGCGATATTATGAGAACTAAAGCTGGTGGATTAGGGTTTCTTTTTCGGCTCCAGGTAGTTGGAGTATATGGACAGACTTAGTGGACCTAAGAATTCTGAGTCTCCCAAATTAGTCAGTCATGTGCTATTTAAACAAGCGATTGGTGTGATTCATTGTGCAGTTCTATAGGTAGATGAAGGATTGTGATTGGTTAGTGTATTGGTATGTTCACATTCTCGTGGAGATCCTAGATGACAAAAGGTCACAGACTACGTTGCTGTTGTCATTGAGGGAACGCAATTTTTGTGAGATTTGTAGCTGATGATATTGTTGAAATGATTAGGGCAAGGATTGGAGGTCAAAGAAATTGATGGAAATCAAATTGGTCTTATAATTGCTCTTGCTTCTAGTGAGACTTGCATAAGTAGGAGGTTCGAGGGCGAAGCCATTGGGGTGGCCATTTCGACACTTGTTTGGACCAGACTTTACCCTAATCTGGTTCAAGAATTGCTTCGGTCCTAACTCTTAATAGATTGGCTGAAGTATGTTAGCACTACTTTAGCTCTTTGCTGTCACTCTAGGTACTTCTAGGAGAGCAACTTCTTTTCCTCTCTTGACCTTGTTGGCTTTAGTGCATGAACCTCAGGTTTCCTTATTTTTATTAAATTTCAATGATATTTTTCCATAGAGTTCTTACATGCGAAGATGAGGGGTCCAACATCTCTGTTTACACAATTCTGATGGGTTACTTTTTATCATTGCAATACATTTTATCACTTAAATAAAATTACAAAAGAAATCAAATACTTAAAACAAAGGTCAAGACAACATCTCAGGATTATAATGCAAAACTTGCATCAATATAGAGTGATTTATGAAGAACCTCTTCATTGGCAAGGGTATCAACCCCTTGGTTAGCTCCCCTAAGAATATAAGCAGAAAAGTCATATTCTTTGTGGCATAAAGGATGAAGATCTCACGAAATATCTTAGCCAGCCTCCACAAAATAGATGACTCTCTACGGAGATATCTCATGAAATTAAGACAATCCCCTTCTACTACTAATCAGCTCCTTAAATGGAAGGGGCAGACCCCTTGACCTGTAAGTAATGCAGGAGCCTTTGCTAATGTAGAATCAATGGACTTCAATAGCTTTTAAGCTTCTTACCTTCATCTCCCAATATTCCATTCATCTGTGCAGGTCCTGCATTACCCTGTGGACATCCATCAAAATTGAGCTTCATAATAGCCCTCATTGGAGCAGCGCAAACTGCCCTGAATTGAAGCTAGGGTGGACTCAATAAGGCCTAAATCTTCCAAACCCTGTCCTAGTCAATGGCTTGAAAACCTTGAAATTCTGGCTGAAGCAAAGCTCACAATATTACCATATTCCAAGTCCTCTCCTTGATAACGAACTAGTGCAGCCTTTGATTCCTGAAAGTATGACCATTCCTCTCTATCCAAATGTGTCATATAAAGGACACAATGCTTAATTGCCAGAGTGCTTGGCCTCTAGGTGGGATTGCCATAGACCATAGGGAAACCTCACCATGAGGTCCTCCACAGAAGCTCAGGTCACCCATTGCATCCCGAAGAGGTCAAGAGAATAGGCCCATATATGGTCATAGCTTTCCAACCTAATGAATGAGAAGGTGGGTAGCTGTGGCCCATATGGTCAGAGCATACCTAGAACGAGTAAGAAGGTGCACCCTTTGATCCCTGAAAGTTCAACCATTCCGCTCTATCCAAATGCACTAAAGAAATGGCCATAATGCTCAATGGCCAGAGCACCTGGCCTCCAGGAGGGATTGCCGCAGACCTTAGAGAGACAGCTCTCATATAAGGTCCTCCACAGAAGTTCAGATCACTCATTGAATGCCAAAGAGGTTAAGAAATTAGGTCCATTTATGATAGCATACCTAAAATAAATAAGAAGGTGGACAGCTGTTTCCTTCTTCGCTCCACACAAAATACACATATTGGGGAATATGTGTATACCGCCTTTGAAGGCGGTTAATTGTCAATATACTCCTGCAGCATGTCAGCCATCCAAAAGCTAAAACCTGGGGAGGAATGTGACCCCTCTAGACTCCACAGCTGAGGTAAGTGGCTGTCATTGCCTTATACAATCCTGTAGATCATTCTACTAGTAAAGCATCCTTTGACTATCCCAGCCCCACACCCGCATATCCACCCCTTGCATTGTCACACACACATTTCACAACTCTGCTAAGAATCTCGCTAACTCTCCTATCTCATCATCTTGAAGATTCCTAGGAAAAGTCGGGCACCATGTAATCCTACCGCCTCAATGTGAAAACAATCAATCACCCGGGCATTCGGATTAGTAGCAATCCTCAATATCACTGTATATCTCGTTCTCAGTTCAGTATGCCCTCACCATGTGTTCAGCCAGAATCGTATGTGTGCTTCATCCTCTTATCACAAATCTAATATGTCAAACTGTCAAAACTCTAGTGTGTCTATTGGGGATCATTGGATCCCAACCCAGCTAAAACTAACTATACCTGCATCGGATAACCTTCCTCCATAATCCTTTATTCTCCTCACCCTATCACCGGAGCCACTTTGCCAAAGGGGTTGAATTTGCCTCTCGAATCTTCCGTATAACCAATTCTCTACATTATATTGGTCTGCATACCTCTTCCAACGAACAAGGTCAAACTTATGCTCCTCACTACTCCCCATCCAAAGGAAATTTTGTTGCACTCGGTCAAGGCTATCAACCACATTGGCCAACATACAGAAAAGAGACATATACTGGTCAATTCACCGACGTGGCAAGTGTGGTTCTCCTGGGATGGCTGCTTACCTTTCCACGTTGTCAATCTCCTCTCCATCCTCTTTGCCATATGATCCGAGAAACTCTTCTTCAGCTGCCAATATGAGGTGGAAGCCCTAAATATTGGCAGGAAGAGAGGAAATCTGACGTCCAAATCTATCTGCCAAGGATAACGTATCCTCCTCCTTTACGCCAACCCCGCAAAATAATATTAAGACCAGTCACCATCTCATAACATCGCAATGCAAACCATAGTTTATCTAATTAATTTACAAATGCTTCACAAAATATAAGTGTATCATCAACAAATAGTGTGATATGTTTCTCCACCACGAATCCCTGAAAGTTTAGGTAGGGATAACAGTGTATTCTATATTCTGATGGATTATTTGGGTGGACCATATCTAGATCCATGAGGGGAAGGTTGATTTGCATGGTGTTAACTTTAGTTAGGGATAACAGTGTACTGTTTGTGACATGACTATACTGGTCTGTTTGAGATATATGACTTCTCTTCAGTGGTGATGAAGTTTCCATGGGGGGTATGACATGTAATGGTTGTGGAGGAATCAGAGGTTTTAACTCTTCAGCTCTAGTTCATACTTGATGCTTTTAAAATTAAATTTGTCTGGAGCTCTTGTTAAAACCAAATGTTATGTTGGGAGGATCTTTCGCATACATGTGTGTAGGTAGAGATTTGTTCTTATTAACTATGTGTAAGAAGATATGTTGGGACTTGTGACAGAGAGTGGTAACTGAGTTAACACATTTAATCAGGTTTCTGTTTTCCACTATTGCATCCCCTCCATACCACTCTTAATAATATAGCATATAGATTTGATGTAGAATAATCCATTTACCCCAATAAAATGAGTGGAGAAACATGCCCCAAACGTTGTTCAAGCATCCATGGTTGCATAAAATCCAATAGCCGTGCCTGTCCATAAAAGAAATCAAATAGCATACTTCTCCTAGATATCCCATGCATTAGGAAACGACTTATGTTGTCAAATATAGAGTCTTCTGATGTGTAATGTGGATGGGGACACTCCATGTAGTTGGCTAAGAATGATTTGTAGCCGCTTTCTAGTGTAACCTTCTTGCTGGTGTTATTTACCACTGATAAATTTTATTGGTTTCCAAAAAGTACAATTTTGGTTCGTGCCTCAGATGTGGATAAATCAGCTTTTTCGTGCAAATTGAGTGGGAGGTGGAATATTTATCTAGTTCCAAAATGATCATTTAGTTTCACTTCTTGGAGAAACAAAGCCATGGGAAGGGTTAATGCTACCAAGAGGATCAACAATTGTGTTGTAACTTTTGTGAGAATTTAGTCCCCACATTGAGGAGGCAAGAGTGTAGGGCGAAGAGGCAAGCTTTGAAAAGCAGAAGGGCTTGACC